AGGTTGGAAGTTGAGGAGAGTGAGGAGACTCCAAAGAGGCCCAAGATCGACTTTGGTGATCGAAGGGTTGCAGGGCCGTTGAGGATTACAAAGGGACGCATGGGGCCGGCATCTTCAGACGAAGAAAGTCTGCAGGAGATTGCCGAGCTAGTGGGCCTGGAACCCACAGACGACGAAATGAGGGCTGAGGCAAATGAAGAAGGCCAAAGAGGGGAGCTGAACAGCTTTGGACCCCCAAACAAGCTGCCACCAAGACGTGATGGGCCAGAAGGAAGGACTTTGCACTTGCAGATGGTCGTATCATCCCAAACTTGGGACAGAAGGTTGTTCAGATGGCATTTCAATGTGGGCTGGTGCTGACTGGAACATTTTCAGTGGTGGATAGCGCAAAGCCACTACTCAGTGTGGGCAAGATGACAAGCTTGGGACACACTGTGAAGATGACACCAGAAGGAGGCCAGATCATCTTGAAGAACGGCAAGTCCATCAAGATCTACTTCAGAAATGGTGTTTGGAAAATCCCAACTTGGATTTGGTGTCCAGGTGATGGGAAAGAGGATGCGAGTTTTCAAAGGCAGGGAAAGCCGTAAAACCTTTGGGTCAAGCGCTAGCTGAAGAAGATGCTGGAGCTTCAGCCAAGCCATTGCCAATTCCAGCAAGGCCTACACTGGTGAAAGCCCATGAAGTTTGCCATGTACCATTTAGGTCGTGGTGCAGTCACTGTGTCAGAGGACGTGGTAAATCGTTCTCCCACAAAGCAGTTGACCACAGTCAGGATGATGAAGGTCGTCCTGTTGTATCACTAGACTATGGTTTCTTTGGTTCGCCTGGAGAACTACCGGCTGATGCTGTTGGTGGACAAAAGATGCCTGGTTTTGGTTGTGCGTGACCGTTTCACCAAAGCAATCTTTTCACATTTGGTTCCTGCCAAAGGCACAGAACACTACTACCCTGAGATTGCGCTCTTGAGGGACATCAAATTTCTTGGTTACACTTCTTTGACTTTGAAATCAGATCAAGAGCCATCTATCATCGCTTTGGCTACTGCAGTCAAGAACACTTTGTCATCACAAGGTATTTCAGTGCAGTTGGAGAACAGCCCAAAAGGAGACAGCCATGGTATGTCAAATGGTGAAGCTAAATCATCTGTGGGAATCACACAAGGTTTAGCCAGGACGCTCAAGGACCATGTTGAACACAAGGTTGGACAACAGTTGGACCCAAGATCACCTATCTTGGGATGGTTGATTGAGTATGTTGGCACTTTGTACACTTTGTTTTCATTTGATGAGAAAGCTCGAGATGGTTTGACAGCGTTTAGACGCATCAAGGGTCGTGATTGGACAGTTGCACTTCCAGCTTTTGGTGAGTGTGTGGGCTACAGAGTCAAGACCAACCACAAGTTGGAGCCGCGTTGGGAATCTGGTATTTTTCTTGGAGTACGACTTCACACTACTGAGGAGATCATTGGAACCCCCAAAGGAGTTGTTGTTGTACAATCTGTAAGACGCAAACCAGATGATCAACAGTGGAATTTGCAGCTACTTCAATCAATTACTGGTACACCATGGGCCCCTAATCCAGCAAAGCAGAAAGAGCCAAGAGAGGCACTGGAGCTTCCAGAGCCAGTGTCTATTGAACCAGAACAGCCAGAGGAAGAAGTCAGACAAGTTGAAACCAGTGAGTTGAAACCACACTTCAGACGTGTTTATCTTCGACAAGATGATTTTGACAAGTTTGGTTATAGTGCTGGTTGTAAAGCTTGTGCACTTATACGCTCTGGTTTAGATCGACAAGGAGTCAATCATGCAGAGGATTGTCGTTTGAGGATAGTCCAAAGGTTGCAAGAGACTGAGTATGGACGTAGGAGAATTGAAATTGCGGCCAAAAGAGAAGAGGAAGCCAAACAAGACGCTTCAAAGAGACAAAGATTGGCTCTTCAAGATGTTGGTGTTGAGCGAGCATCTGGACCTTCAAGTGGACCAGGAATCAAAAGACCTGCAGAGGATCCACCACAGGATCCTAGGCTTGAAGACCCCGAGCAGCCGGGAGGCAGTGTTGCTTCAACACGCCAGCCTGGAACAAAGAGGGATGTAGAGCAAGCTGGTCTGAGCTCTGATCCAATGGAAGACGTCGAAACTTCCCTTACAAAGGTTGTACTTTCTCAAAGACAAGGTTTTCTAGGAGCTGTTTACGCGCAAGTTGAACAGTCACCTGAAACACTACCTGTTTGTGAAGAGAACTTTGGGATTGACCCAGAAGAGCCACTCTACTGGGACAACGTTTCGGGAAAGCCGCTGGACACTGCAAAGGTGCAGGAGGCACGTCGAGAAGAATGCCAAGTGATTGATGCTATGGGTGTTTGGGAGGTCATCGACAGACCTGCCAATGAGCGAGTCATTTCCACACGATGGGTGGATGTGAACAAAGGGGATGAGACACATCCCAAGTATCGCTCAAGATTCGTGGCAAGAGAACTGAAGCAGAAGAGTGATTTCTTTGCTTCTATGCCGCCTATCACAGCACTTCGCGCATTATTTACTTTGGCCGTGACCATGAGGGTACCTAACCTTGTAGGTAAGTTAGCCCAAATGGATCCAACTAAGTGCTTGATTTTCATTGACGTCAAGAAAGCTCATTTTTGGAGCCCTGCTCGCAGAAGATTGTTGGTTGAACTCCCAAGTGGAATGGGATATCCACCAGGCAAAGTGGGTTTGTTGCGGAAATCTCTTTATGGAACTCGCGACGCCCCAGCCAACTGGGAGGCAGCAATCAAAGCAGTGATGATGTTAATGGGTTTTCAGCAAGCCAAAAGTAACTCATGTTTGTACTACCACGCCGAGAAGCAAATTCGCATCGAGGTACACGGTGATGATTTCACCGGAGTAGGACCGAAAACAGAGTTAGAATGGTTTGCCGCCGAACTTCGCAAACACTGGACGATTGATGTTCGAGGTATTTTGGGACCCCCATCTATGAAAGATGTGGATCACTCAATTGTTATCTTGAATCGTTTGGTGACGTGGACAGACAAGGGCATTGAAATGGAAGCCGATCCGAGACATGTGGACCTACTTCTTCAAGAGGTTGGTTGCGAAGGATCGAAGGTAACAACGCCTTTGATCAAAGAGCGGATCGAAGAGGCTTTGACTTCAGAGGAATTGGACGAAGAGACTTCAGCGATGTATCGTTCTGCAAGTATGAGATTGGCGTATCTTTCGCAAGATAGACCTGATTTGTTGGTTCTTGGAAAGGAGCTAGCGAAAGGTTTGAAACGACCGACTCAAGCACATTTGCAGATGTTGAAACGTGGAGTTCGCTATCTTCGTTCGCACCCGAGAATGATACACCTGTTTCCGAATCAGAAGCAATTTACTTCATTGGAACTTTGGGTCGATGCCGACCATGCAGGATGTATTAGGTCTAGGAAGTCAACTACGGGCATAGTTTTACAATTAGGTCGTTGCACAATCCGGACAACCTGCAAGTCACAAGCCGTGATAGCATTGAGCTCCGGAGAGGCCGAATACTACGGACTCGTGTCCGGACTTTGCCAAGCACTCGGCGAACAGTCTCAACTTCGTGACTGGGGAGTGCATGTTCCCATCATCGGTTACATGGATGCAACAGGGACTTTCAATTGGTAGTCGTCATGGACTGGGAAAGGCCAAACACATAGATACAGTATTTCTGTGGGCACAAGATGCTATTTTGACTGGAAAAGCAAAGTTGTACAAGAAGAGCACTCAAGAAATTCTCGCGGACCTGTTTACCAAACCCTTGGATGCAGGCCGAATGAAAACGCTCTTAGAGAAACTCAACTATCGCTTTTGCGGAGGAAGACATCATTTAGCACTTGACGCATGAAGAACAGGGGCTGAGCCAGGCTAGGGTAGGAAAGACTGTACATGTCTAGTCGCAGCAAATTCTCACTCGCACCCTGTGAATCAGAGGCACTCCTTCGGGAGGCATGTAGAGATGTAGCGCCTAGTACAGTCATGTCTGTTTGTGCTATGGCATGCATGTTGTATATGTGCCGTAGCCCCTTTTTTAGATTCTTGTAAAGAGATTGAACGACTTCGAGCCCAATAGAGAAAGAGTGAGCAGCACGCTGTGAAGAGGCGCTTACCCACTGCCACATTAAATTTGCAGAGAATGAATTGGGCGCGTAGAATGTGCGCTGCGACGCTTGGATGTGGATATGGTCATGGTCGGTTCGGTCCGGTCCTTGAAAACTCGGCGCGTAGGAACTGGCATGCGGAGGGTTTGCAGCTGTGAGCTAGGAAACTCAGCGCAGTAGCTATTTGATGGCCGTCGACATAAATTGCAATGCTTTTTGCAACACGGCGATGCAGATTCGAACCGTTTCCAGAAGCCTGTGTCGTGAAGGCACTGTTCTTCAGTTGACATGAAGAAAAAATACGGAAACATGTATTCCTGCTCACATCTGCTCACAAAAAGCTCCCTTCGAGGCCTCTGTTTCTGCTTACGAATCATCCACTCAAATTCTGTCAAAAAGCCCCTCCGAGCTGTATGCTTCAATCCCTGGCTAACAAAACTATCACTTCCTTCTCTACCTATCGGAACATAAGCATGACCTCCCACAGAGGAATTGCACGCATTGTATGTCGTATGTAATGCAATATCAATGATGTTGTGTACCGTTATTTACTGTACTGGTACTGGGTAGTGTAATGTAGTACATTGTTGTGCATTGTCTGGTATTGTATGCTCCTGTACTGGCTCGCATTGTCTAGTCTTTATTGTATGGAATAGTACAGTACGATATGGGATGTATGTAAGTATACCTACAGGTATGTGTGTGTATATATATATATATTTACACACATACAAAATCATACAAATATCTCCTCTGTCTCTCTATATATTTATATATATACACGTATAAATAGTACACTCGCCCCCTCTCAATGTTAGTTTTCATCAGATGAACTTTTGAGTCAGAATTCTTGTTTGTACCGGGACGCATCCTTGACGAGGCCCGGCCATCTAAGTCCTGACTGCCCGGCTGGGCGTGCTCTTTTGCAAACAGCCACGCATTTGAAAAGCCCGGCTCCTGTCTGTTCATCTTGGAAGTTGGAGATAGCAGCCGAGAACAAAGATTGGGAAGCGCACATTTTTGAGATTGAGCTCTACAGTGGAGATCAGATGATCTCAGGAGCAGGCATGGGAACTGCTACCTCGGATTGTGAGCGCTCGTCTCCAGATGGTGCATTTGATGGGGACACCAGCACCAAATGGGTCACTTGCTCCGGCGCAAAGGTCGGAAAGAGCGTGACATACAAATTGCACAGCCCCAATGGCGTGACCAAGATCAAGACCATACAGTTCGGCAGTGCCAACAATGCCATTCCAAAGTTTGACTTGTACTGCTCAACTGATGATGTCACTTTCTCCTATGTGTGGACGGCAGATTTGGGAACCGGTGCTGGCACCAACGAAGCCACCTCAGGTCTTTCCGCGCCCAGTGATGACATGATCGCCAGCTTCAGCCCCCCCACCACAACCACGACGACCATGGACCCTGCGCTGCTGGCAAAACCCAGGATATTCCTCACTGCTGAGAAACTCAGCATGGTTTGATTTGAGTTTTGGTTGCCCGTGTGGCACAAATTCAGCCCGAACAGTTTGGGTCTAGTCTGCATCAATATCGTCCCACAATTGAGTAGATGAACATCCCAACATAGAATGACTTGTCCTTTTACTGGGTTTCTGGCTGGCAGGTGCGGCACCATTTGATCACCAACCGTACCCATTTGATCCCATTTGTTTGTTTCCTTCTCAAACAGAGCAGCTTTTTTTGAACTCATTCATTCCTATGCCTTTTTGAGCCTCCAGCACGACGGTTGCAGCTCGCTTCCTAGGACACATTCCATGAACCTCGGTGGCATTGCGGGAGCAGATGCAATTTGCACAGCTGAAGCTGGTCAAGCTGCGAAGGCCTTGTTGGTGGATGACGCGGGCTGCGGTGGGGCACCATGTCGCCGTGCATCCGTAAAGCCCTGGCCGCCCACGGAGGGAAGGGTAGACTGGCCATTGCTACCTCGGACCACCTACTACAACAAGGATTGGACAAAGGAGGTGGGACAAGGACATGGTGGGACATGGACACAGTTGGACATGGTGTGCATATCCCCTCAGTGAATCTGGAATAGCCCCAACTGCAGGGGAAATATGGGATTCCTTTGGACATTTTTCAAGGGCTGACCATCCCTTAGCGTATCATTTCAAGCAACCATGAGGTACATGTTCCAGTAAAACTTTTTCGATGTTTTCGGACAAATTGGAGCGGTAGTTTGCTGTTTTGCACAGTTTGGCCATCCGTCTTGAGTCATTTCTGACCGAATGAATCTGCATGCTGTGCACGTGGGGGCAGTAGAATGATCACCTGTAGTCAACCACGGCCGCCACTGCTCGATTTCAGGTGGTTACCACAGATTGCCATGCATTGCTGGCAGGGAACATGGTCAACGCAGTGACCAGCACTGGATGCAGCAACCAAGTTACAGGCATGAATGCAGACTTCCAGACTAAGTCGGGTGCCACCTGTGAGAGTTACACCAGTGCAGATCCAGCTGATCAGATGGTGGTGGGATGGTCCTGTGCTGCCAATGGCCCGGCATTGGTGTACAACTGGGTGTATCCCAAGGGAACTCAGTCCTGTGACATCAAGAAGCAGTTCATTTGCGTGACCACTCCGGACCTCACGGTTGAAGCAACATGTGGCTTGGCAGCAGGGTGTTTGATCATGTGTTCTTTTTTCTCAAGAATCGGATATAAAAAAAAAACAACCGTGAAGGAAAGGCTAGTGAGGTCCTGGTCCTGGCTTTTACCAGTGCTTCTGCAGACTCTTGAATTCTACAACATGTTCCCTAATTCGTAGCCCCCCCCTAGCCGACCTCTCCAAATGGGTTAGTCTGCTTTTGTAGCTACATGGTGCAGCGCTGATAGATATGGCCACATCACATCGCATCACTGTATATAATCTTTTCGAGTTCATATTTCTTTGAACTCATCAATCACATGCGATTCACAAGGCGAGACTGGCATTCCTTGTGAACATGAACTTTAGTTCAATGTTTTCAGCCATTTTCCCTTGCCAAATAATTACCCCCCTTTTCTTATTCTTAATAGGGGAAGCATCAGAGCATGTCAAGACGAGTGTGAAAACTTGAAACAGAAGTCCAAAAGAAAAGTCAACTACACTCAGAGCTCGAAACTATAACATGCAGTGCCTGAGCAACCCCATCTCTCCTATGAGAGGGAGTATCCCACAAGGCACCGTCGCACACACGGGCAGACATGAAAGGTGAGGAGATAGCACAGATATCAAGCGCAGCATCAAGTTCCGAGTAAATCCCAAGAAGCGCTGTTCCATCCCTAGCCGCTAATGCAACGCATCATCCACTGCCAACGTTAGAATATGTCCAGTACATAGCTTGGCAACGTCCCACAGATCAGATGTCAAATATAGAATCGCCTTCCGAATCACGACCCGCTCAACTCACCCAACCCAACAACTCCCACGGGGGCATCCCAGGTTGATCTGCACACCAGCAACGATCACACAACTCAGCTTGTGCCGAGGTTGATCACAAAGACAAATATCTATTTACAACAAACCAATTAAAGCTTTCAGTAGGCACCGGTCTGCGAGCGTCAGACAATCCACATTTGGGAATGCATCAATATTAATTGATCAATAAGATTAAATAAGTATATATATACATACATATATATATATTCGATATATATATATACACACATATATACATACTATATATATATATTGTATCCATACGTACATAAGATATAATATATAGATCTATATACATACATTCACAGACATGTATATGCAATGTTAGCGTTCCTCTAGGGGTTCTGCTATTTTTTTTTTACACATTCAAATTGCTCCGTTTTTCCCCACATCTTTGTGTGGGGTTCTTGTTTTTGGTTCTGTATCCGTCCGTCCGCCCGCCTCCCGTCCTCCCGCCGCCTCACACACAACTTACACACACACAACTTACTCACACACAACTTGCCCACACACAACTTGCTCACACACAACTTACTTACTCACATACAACTTACTCACACACCCATTGCTCACACACAACTTGCTCACACACAACTTACTCACACACAACTTGCTCACACACAACTTACTCACACACAACTTGCACACACACACAACTTACACACACACACAACTTGCTCACACACACAACTTGCTCACACACAACTTGCACACACACACAACTTACTCACATACAACTTACTCACATACAACTTACTCACACAACTTGCTCACACACAACTTACTCACACACAACGTACTCACACACAACTTACTCACACACAACTTGCACACACACACAACTTACTCACATACAACTTACACACACACAACTTGCTCACACACAACTTGCACACACACACAACTTACTCACATACAACTTACTCACATACAACTTACTCACACACAACTTGCTCACACACAACTTACTCACACACAACTTACTCACACACAACTTACTCACACACAACTTACTCACACACAACTTGCTCACACACAACTTGCTCACGCACAACTTGCTCACACACAACTTGCACACACACAACATGGATCGTCACTTTGCGTGGCACTTTGTGACATCCACCTCCACTTTGTGTGGCAGGCGTGGCACTTGATGACATGGATTGTTACTTTGCGTTGCAGGCGTGGCACTTATGGCACTGGGTTGGCTCTGGTGGCGCGCTTGGTTCCCAGGCGGCGCTGTGACGCCGCGGCGTTTTGCGTGGCAGGCGTGGCGCTTGGTGACATCCCTTCACTTTGTGTGGCAGGCGTGGCACTTGATGACATGGATTGTTCCCCACATCTTTGTGTGGGGTTCTTGTTTTTGGTTCTGTATCCGTCCGTCCGCCCACCTCCCGTCCTCCCGCCGCCTCACACACACAACTTACACACACACACAACTTACTCACACACACAACTTGCTCACACACAACTTGCTCACACACAACTTACTTACTCACATACAACTTACTCACACACCACTTGCTCACATACAACTTGCTCACACACACACAAATTACTCACACACAACTTGCTCACACACAACTTACTCACACACAACTTGCACACACACACACACAACTTACACACACACAACTTGCTCACACACAACTTGCTCACACACAACTTGCACACACACACAACTTACTGACATACAACTTACTCACATACAACTTACTCACACACAACTTGCTCACACACAACTTACTCACACACAACTTACTCACACACAACTTACTCACACACAACTTGCACACACACACAACTTACACACACACACAACTTGCTCACACACACAACTTGCTCACACACACAACTTGCACACACACACACAACTTACTCACATACAACTTACTCACATACAACTTGCTCACACACAACTTGCTCACACACAACTTACTCACACACAACTTACTCACACACAACTTACTCACACACAACTTGCACACACACACACAACTTACTCACACACACACAACTTGCTCACACACAACTTGCTCACACACAACTTGCACACACACAACATGGATCCTCACTTTGCGTGGCACTTTGTGACATCCACCTTCACTTTGTGTGGCAGGCGTGGCACTTGATGACATGGATTGTTACTTTGCGTTGCAGGCGTGGCACTTATGGCACTGGGTTGGCTGTGGTGTTGCGCTTGGTTCCCAGGCGGCGCTGTGACGCCGCGGCGTTTTGCGTGGCAGGCGTGGCACTTTGTGACATCCACCTTCACTTTGTATGGCAGGCGTGGCACTTGATGACACGGATTGTTACTTTGCGTGGCAGGCGTGGCACTTATGGCACTGGGTTGGCTCTGGTGGCGCGCTTGGTTCCCAGGCGGCGCTGTGACGCCGCGGCGTTTTGCGTGGCAGGCGTGGCACTTGGAGACATCCACCTTCTTTTCACGTGGCATGCGTGGTACTTGGTGGCATCGACTGGGCATGTACCTCTGCTGCCTCACTTGCACTTTTGCGTACACTGTGACATGTTTGTGTTGGATGAGATTGTCGTACCTGCGTCATCTGTAGCCATTTGACACCATATATATATATATATTTGCATCCATACATCCATCCATCTATCCATCCATCCATCCATACATACATGCATACATACATGCATGCATACATGCATACAACACAACTTTTCCATACACAACTTACTCGTACTTACTCTTCCACACACAACTTGCTCCACACCAATCCTTCGCCATCTCTTTTCCCTTTCTTGCTTTCCCCATGCCATCTTTACCTTTCTTTTGCTGCTTGTTGGAAGAAGTTGACATGTGGGGTTATCCGGTCCTTTAATTACTTTGCGTGGCAGGCGTGGCACTTATGGCACTGGGTTGGCTCTGGTGGCGCGCTTGGTTCCCAGGCGGCGCTGTGACGCCGCGGCGTTTTGCGTGGCAGGCGTGGCACTTTGTGACATCCACCTTCACTTTGTGTGGCAGTCGTGGCACTTGATGACATGGATTGTTACTTTGCGTGGCAGGCGTGGCACTTATGGCACTGGGGTTCCCAGGCGGCGCTGTGACGCAGCGGCGTTTTGCGTGGCAGGCATGGCACTTTGTGACATCCATCTTCACTTTGTGTGGCAGGCGTGGCACTTGATGACACGGATTGTTACTTTGCGTGGCAGGCGTGGCACTTACGGCTCTGGGTTGGCTCTGGTGTTGCGCTTGGTTCCCAGGCGGCGCTGTGACGCCGCGGCGTTTTGCGTGGCAGGCGTGGCACTTTGTGACATCCACCTTCACTTTGTGTGGCAGGCGTGGCACTTGATGACACGGATTGTTACTTTGCGTGGCAGGCGTGGCACTTATGGCACTGGGTTGGCTCTGGTGGCGCGCTTGGTTCCCAGGCGGCGCTGTGACGCCGCGGCGTTTTGCGTGGCAGGCGTGGCACTTGGAGACACCCACCTTCTTTTCACGTGGCATGCGTGGTACTTGGTGGCATCGACTGGGCATGTACCTCTGCTGCCTCACTTGCACTTTTGCGTACACTGTGACATGTTTGTGTTGGATGAGATTGTCGTACCTGCGTCATCTGTAGCCATTTGACACCATATATATATATGTATATATATATATGTATATATATATGTATATATATATATGCATCCATACATCCATCCATCCATCCATCTATCCATCCATCGATACATACATACATACATACATACATACATACATACATACATACATACATACATACATACATACATACATACATACATACATACATACATGCATACAACACAACTTGTCCATACACAACTTACTCGTACTTACTCTTCCACACACAACTTGCTCCACACCAATCCTTCACCATCTCTTTTCCCTTTCTTGCTTTCCCCATGCCATCTTTACCTTTCTTTTGCTGCTTGTTGGAAGAAGTTGACATGTGGGGTTATCCGGTCCTTTAATTTGGGATGAACAGGATGCAGGGATCTGCTAATGATGACTTCCAAGCCATCTTGCGGTTAAGGCGATGATTGGAAGGTTCTGCAGCTGGAGGACTATCAGGCCTTCATCTCTGGCTCTGGTAAGGCAGTGGTGTACGAGGGCCCCCGATTGGCCTTGGTCATCGCAGACTCCGCACGGTCTGCAGAATTCAATCCAGATGTGAATGATGCTAAAACTACAGAGGCTATGAAAGACATTGTGACTGGTTTGCGTTTTATGCTGCCTTAAGCCTGTGGCCTACACACACACATGGTTTTTGTTCATGTATTTTAGATGGGTTACTTTACTTATTTGCATGCCAACATAGGGTGGCTATTGTTGGGATGATCATATTTTCCTACGACCGAGGACGGCAGCAGCTGCTGGTATCTAGTTGTGGTGACAAACGTGCACACGCAGATCCGCATAACATATACACACAACGCATAGCCAAATCATTGAGTGGTTAAGGTGAGACCAATGGTATGGACATTCTTACTTTGCCGCTCCGAAAGTGATTGGATTGCTGCAACCCCACTAAAGACACCTCAGTCGTCAATATTTTTTGGATCATCAGGTCAACCAGAAGCACTCAGATATTGTTCATGAAATATTGCGAACATAAGAAGATCAGGTTTCCAATTTGGAGAAGATGCTCTACATCTACGATGATGTGGTTGGAATGATTCCCAGGTACTATACCGCTCCGGATGCACGGCTGGAAGGTCGGATTCCCCAAGAAATAAACTTCCTGAACGCGGGGGGCTTGGCTAATGCCGCCCGTGCTGGCGTTGCAGTGGGTCCCGACTTCGTCAGGAAGATGTTGGAGATGACCCTTCAAGGTCGACAGGTGATTGACCACGTCTTTTTCTATGAGAACTTCAGGAATTACATCTTTCCCAATGTGTTCACCAAGGTTTTGGATTACCACACTTCGGTGAGCTATTGGAGCTCAGGTTGGGTGAATCAGGGTTTCATCAATATCTTCGGGTGTCTCACGTCTGTTGCCATCACTCCACCGGTGGAATTCAATTACTTTGGAAAGAACCGGGAGGAGTTCATGGCCATGATGGAAGAGAACTTGGTGATCTATGTCAGCAACTCAGAGTACAATTTGGACAACACTTTCATGCAAGACTTCCTTCCCTGGGCCTCCCACAGCAGCCTTGACAATCTGTATTCAGGACTGGGTGCGGTGCTGGGTCCAGCCATTTCTCCTTCTTGAGACTGAAATTTGGGCTGCAAATACAAAGAAGTTCTTGGAAGCATGGAACAAACTAATACGTGCACAGCCCAGAGTCCCCAGCAAGACTAGTGGAAAAAGATGCAACAAGACAAAAGAGAATCATCACCACACTTTAGGCTGGGGCCCTAAAAACCAACCTCCACTAATGGCCTATTACTGGGTGGGGGGACGTCCACTAGCCTGACATGCAGGACTCAACTCATTCCTCTTCCGGAAATGTGGTGGCGTCAATTTCTTGAAGGGTTTCTTTGGCGCTTTGGAGGGCCTGCTAGTCCGTGCTCCCGACGGAAAAGGTGACTACGAAACTGCCATGGAGAACTACTACATCGCTGCAAGCATTGGTGCGAATGCAGACCTCAAGGATTTCTTTACAGGTGTGGCATTGGTGTGGCCCAAGTCCAAAAATTCCCAAGAAACTTTCATTGCATAGCAAACTGAAAGGGGCAGCACAACAATTTCTGAAGGTCTCAGGTCGTCAGAGATCAGGGGTTTGTCTGAAAATGGATATGGGGGATACCACAAACAACCCAAACATGGTCAATTCAATAGGGAAAGTGATGACAAATTGGAAAAGGATGGCTGGGGTTTAGGGGAGCCCCATGAACAACCCGCCTCATGTCAGGCGAGTTGAAGTGGCACCTGCGACCTGCAGCTTTGGCAGAAGTTCACGCCAAAGGTTTGACAACGATGAGCCTGTCAGCGACCACAACGACGACCACCACGACGGTGGGAGTTGTGAAAGAAGCCAAAAAGGCATTCCGTTTTGGTATCTAGGAGACCTAGGCAACAAAGCTATATTTTGAATTTGGGATATATTTTTTAGTCTTTCTATGTTCTTGGGCCGTGAAGAGAATTTTTGTAAGTTCTTGAAGAATCTTCTGTAGAGCCACCTCGAGCTTTTGAAGGCAGGGAAAGAATGATGTGACTTCAAAGAGTTTTTGGCTGGCAGGTGGCAGTGGCTCCTGTCTGTTCATCTTGGAAGTTGGAGATAGCAGCCGAGAACAAAGATTGGGAGGCGCACATTTTTGAGATTGAGCTCTACAGTGGAGATCAGATGATCTCAGGAGCAGGCATGGGCATTGCTACCTCGGATTGTGAGCGCTCGTCTCCAGATGGTGCATTTGATGGGGACACCAGCACCAAATGGGTCACTTGCTCCGGCGCAAAGGTCGGAAAGAGCGTGACATACCAATTGCACAGCCCCAATGGCGTGACCAAGGTCAAGACCATACAATTCGGCAGTGCCAACAATGCCATTCCAAAGTTTGACTTGTACTGCTCAACTGATGATGTCACTTTCTCCTATGTGTGGACGGCAGATTTGGGAACCGGTGCTGGTACCAACGAAGCCATCTCTGGCCTTGCTCCTCCCCCATTACCAGCCACTCCTCCCCCCACTGTGGCGCCTGTCTGTTCATCTTGGAAGTTGGAGATAGCAGCCGAGAACAAAGATTGGGAAGCGCACATTTTTGAGATTGAGCTCTACAGTGGAGATCAGATGATCTCAGGAGCAGGCATGGGAACTGCTACCTCGGATTGTGAGCGCTCGTCTCCAGATGGTGCATTTGATGGGGACACCAGCACCAAATGGGTCACTTGCTCCGGCGCAAAGGTCGGAAAGAGCGTGACATACCAATTGCACAACCCCAATGGCGTGACGAAGATCAAGACCATACAATGGGGCAGTGCCAACAATGCCATTCCAAAGTTTGACTTGTACTGCTCAACTGATGATGTCACTTTCTCCTACGTGTGGACGGCAGATTTGGGAACCGGTGCTGGTACCAACGAAGCCATCTCTGGCCTTGCTCCTCCCCCATTACCAGCCACTCCTCCCCCCACTGTGGCGCCTGTCTGTTCATCTTGGAAGTTGGAGATAGCAGCCGAGAACAAAGATTGGGAAGCGCACATTTTTGAGATTGAGCTCTACAGTGGAGATCAGATGATCTCAGGAGCAGGCATGGGCATTGCTACCTCGGATTGTGAGCGCTCGTCTCCAGATGGTGCATTTGATGGGGACACCAGCACCAAATGGGTCACTTGCTCCGGCGCAAAGGTCGGAAAGAGCGTGACATACCAATTGCACAACCCCAATGGCGTGACGAAGATCAAGACCATACAATGGGGCAGTGCCAACAATGCCATTCCAAAGTTTGACTTGTACTGCTCAACTGATGATGTCACTTTCTCCTACGTGTGGACGGCAGATTTGGGAACCGGTGCTGGTACCAACGAAGCCATCTCTGGCTTGACGTCACCTTGAACATCAGAGAGGAGTAACACAAAAGTTGAATAAATTATCGGCAGAAGGCAAAAAAAATGTCTTACAAGTTTGAGCTGCAAATGTTTCCTGTGTGCTCAATGGATTACGTCAAGTGCGATGCTCTGATACCATGCAGTTGTGTGTTTCAAGTAGGATTTGATGAAGGTTCTGAGCGCCAGCGCAATGATCGGATGACACACCTGATTAATGGCGTCATTGAGAGTCTCATGCATGGTGGATTTTTGCAATGTGATAACATTTGAGAGTGAGGTACCTCCAAATCAAATGATGCAATGTGATTCAATGATTTATTGTAACTTTCTCGATCTTTCTCCATTCAAATGCCATTTTGGGGGTGTACAATGCTGTTAGCTCATTTCCAGACCCATTTGTTCCAGGGTAGCTCCAGCAGCGCGCCCTGTGCCTCGGAACTGGTTCTCCACAACTTAGACTAAGACTGCGCAGAATCATCAAGCATCAGCATCACCAAACTATTTGTATCATTTTGTATCTATTACCGGAATCTTAGTTTTTTTCCCCTTGATCGCCAGGAATTGAAACCTTCAACGAGGTTACTCTGATTCCAGGATCGACATATCGGCTGAGACGCATGTGCACGCAAGCAACAAATAGCAACAAGAACTAAGGCTCTGCCCAATGCTAAGACCTTTGCTTGAGCAAGCCGGGCCCTAATGAAATCCCGTAGAATCTGTGTGAACTTTCCCAAGTTCCCAGTGGTTTTCCTTCAAGGTGTGATCGAAGCTCTTTCTCGCGTTGGTGACCGTGTGCACCACGCGCGCGAGACCATCGGCACTGTGGAAAGCTTCGATGGATGGCAACTGGTCCAAATATTCATACAATTCATACAGTGACAGAATTGTTGCATGTGTGAAATCAGCATACTGCTGGGATTGAAATGAGAGGATTGGAATCCTTTGAAAACATAGCTCTCAATAGAACCTGCAGTTTCACGGTTCCTGAGAACGTTGCAAAGCCCAGACGCAACCGCTCTTCAAGGTGACTTAAAAGTGAAGAAAGATGTCCTGTGGAAAGCCTGCGGTGTGGTATTATTTACCAGACAGCGGGTGCTCCACGGGACATCTTTTGGTATGCCCGCAAATGCTGTACATTGTGCCATTCCGCGTAGCTGTACAGGTACGAATTCCACCCAACTGCACAATTGGATGCACTTGTAATTACGCAATGGTGACAATGATCAGATAGTGAGACATAGTTGACATAGTAAGACAGTGTAAGTGTAAGACTCAACATGGGACTGATAGATGTGGTTCAGTCTTGGCTGCCGACATTGCCAGCATTTGCTGTTCTTCCGAACTCTTCCTGCCCGGCTCAGATTTTCTATGCAAAGAATTGCCGGAAGGCAATCAGTGTTGGAGACCGGGTCTTCAACACCAGGAAAGAAGAAGTGGCCGAAGTCATTGGCTTCGACCACATGGGTGCGCATCCGTTTGTTGGAATGTGGGGGCCAGGAGCGGACGGGTTCCAAATCTTGGATTAAAACGGAAAAGATCATAAATGCAACAGTAGTTCCAAAGGTTTCATGTTCAGAGACACGTTAAAAGATGGCGCCACATATTTCCTCCCAGTGTCCTAGTCACGCATTTTTGCCACATTTATGGATGTGGTCATGTGCTTGTGTAAAGTAAAGTACATACATAATGTGTCTAGAGTCTATATCCATGTATAATGTATGATACGTGAGTGATATGATAGAGCCAAGATATGCCACCAGTCTTCTGTTACCTCAAAGATCTGCATTTTCTTCGAAGCGTCCTGGCAGATGACCCGGTGGTGGTGAAGCCTAACCAACTCCGAAGCGCTTGGCCCCGATGCTGCTCGTCGTTGCATGAACTGATGACTTGGGGTTTGGGTGGGTTTGGTGCTTGCTGCCATCGGATGCCGTGGATAGATTTCTGGACATCAGTGGATAGTTTTGGGAGGTTCAAAACCTTTCGAAGTTTGTGCACCGTCTCCATAGGGTGAAATCAAGTTGTGACATGTTGTGACAGCATCTCCAAACCCTTGGTCAGATGGTCTATGGAAATCTTGGGAACCTTTCGCCCCTTGAACTTCATAGACACATTAGACGCTCTGTGGAAACAGTCTGTTGGGTGGTTAGATGATTTGAAAGGCCAAGAACGCCTTTGATATCGATTGCATGATGGCAGTGGCAGCCCGGCAAGCCCGGCAAGCCCGGCAAGCCCGGCAAGCCCGGCAAGCCCGGCAAGCCCGGCAAGCCCGGCAAGCCCGGCAAGCCCGGCAAGCCCGGCTGCCCTCATGAAATCCGTAGAATCTGTATGAACTTTCCCAAGTTCCCAGTGGTTTTCCCGCATGAGCGAGGTGTGATCGAACGTCTCACATCCATTGGTGACCGAGTGCACTTATGCGAGACCATGGGAACTGTGGAGGGCTTTGATGAAGATGGCAACTGGTCCAAATTCATACGATTTAGACAGCGACTGAAATGTTGCATGTGTGAAATCAGCATCATAGCGAGCCCCCAGGGAGCATGTCTCTTCCTGGGCTACCTATGGCTACCTAACTTTCAATGTAACATGCAGTTTCATGTACTGTGAACGTCGCAAAGCTCAGTCACAACTTCTCAAGGTGACTTCAAAGTGAAATGTCTAATGGGCAGCCCGTCGTGTGGTATGCGCACAAATGCTTGGCACCCAGTGGTTGTGAAAGATTGCAGAAGTGAGACTGAGAAAAGAGAGCAGGTAGTTGTGGCTGCATGCGTAATTGTGGATCTTCACGATGGATTTTGAAGGAACCAAAAGGATTGAGAAATTGTATCACCACATAACCAATTTATCTTAAAGATTCTTAAAGTAGCTATGAGAAAGCAGTCTTCCGGGCCAGCATCTATGAAAACATGAGGCATGCCCTCAAAAGGTGCAGTGTTTTATTTTGAGGAAGTGCAGTCTTCCTTTCAAACTATTCTGCCTTTCTTGTGCATACAGACTTCCTGTCGAAAAATCGCAGTATTCAATAAACATACACACACAATCACACACACACACATGAAATATTCCATTTTTTTAAAGGAACATTTTAAATTCAGAGACAGCGATTTTTCGTTCACAAGCGGTGGTCTTCCTTTGGCCTTCCTTCAAGAAGCAGTATGCCTGGAAAATAGGGAGATATATGGAGCATTCCCCCAAAACGGTGAAATGTTCGAAGTGGAGTCTTTCTGTCAACAAATCCAGTCTTCCTTCAATGGGTATCCCTTTAAAAGGCGAAAATCCTGCACAGTATGCGGTGTGTTTGGTTTGAACCCATAGCATTCCTGTCAAACAAATGCAATAACCAATGCACAAATGCAGTACTCCTTGGAAAAGATCATGTCAATTCCTTTATTCATTTTTTGCAAGGCAATAGCTTCTTGAAGGAAATATCTACTTAATTTCCACACAGGGATATTGCATTCTTTACTCACATGTTGCATTCATCCGGAAGGGCATGTTACCTACGATACCTTTCTTAACAAAAAGAGTCCTGCATACATAGAATTCTACTTTCTGGCAATGTTCATGGTCCGAAGTGCATGTTGCACTCTTTCCCATCACATTGTTCACCTTTTCGGAAGAAATAGTACACACACACACACACTTCTACCAAATTTTGCTTTAAGGAGTACCATTCCCTTTCGAAAGAGTACTGCATAGACGGGTTCTACTTTTTCAACGTACCTTTCTAATAAAGTGCACTACTACATTTTTCAAACGAAGTTCGCACATGTTGAAGGTCTCTGTAAACGCATCCCTCTCAAAGAGACGTTGCGCTCTTTAAAAGGGAACGCACAAAATGAAATCACAACCTGTTGAAAGGAATCCCGCAACCTGTTGAAGGAGTCCCACGTTGTTCGGAAAATAGAAGTGCACCAGGAGGTCCAGAAGACTCTATTCGATAGTCTTAGGCAATTCTTGACGAGAGTTGCAACAAATTCGAGAAAACAAGAAAACTACGAAACACCGTTTCAAAGTATCGGTCGGTATTGGTAAAGTACGGGTTGAGTACAAATTACGTACTGGTTTACAAGATAAATACCCCAGGTTTCCAGTCACAAACAGAGGGTTCATTTTTTGTGCAAGTTTGGCCCCAGGAGTTTTGCTGGTCTTGGTGCTCAAGGCATTTGATGTATATAGCATATAGATATATAGTACGCATGCTTTTCCCTGTATTCTCCAAGTGTTGGGAAATCTGGACAAAACCTGCCCATGTTTGGCCAGTAGCTTCCATCATTGGCAAATGCTGTGACTGGACCGCCTTTGTCACATGCAGAACAAAGTGGCACTTGTGGCTGAATCATATCCCGAATCGGCGTTTCACGTTCACAATGTTTGTCATATGTTTATCATGTTTCAGCCGAGGCAAGCAAGGCATCGGTTGTTTGCCAAAGAAAAGCTTGGCAGATGAGCTTCTCGAAGAGCTTGGCATGAAGGAGCTGAAGAAACTGGGACTAACCGGACTAACCGGACTAACCGGACTAACCCAATCTCAATCACAAAGTCATCCAAATGATCGGATGCACGCAGGGTGAAGCAAGGACACACAGTGTTGGAAGGTGCAAAATAGACTGTGGAACTGGAGATGCGATGTTAGTTGGAATATGTTGGATTTCTAGTTTTGTTGGCTCTCACAGCTGTGTAGGATTCCTCAGGTGGATTCCTCAACCAGCTCTGCGTCGACTTCCCTCATGTTGGAATCAAACCAGTCACGAACATGTGCAAAAATCATTTCGGACTGAAGGGAACGGCTTTTTTTTTCAAACTTTTACTTTTCGATTCTGTTGCAGGAATGGTGAGTACCTGGGCCATCAGGTAGATTTTCGCAGCTCAAAAATTGGGGCAGCGGATGATACCAATGTTAGTGTGCCCGTCCCTGTTGGTGACTCAAATGGTATCTATAATATTATATACACTTAATACACATATATGATTTATATTGATTTATATTGATTTATATGATATACATATCCGGGCCGTTAGTTGGCACAACTCATGAATGTTCCTTCATGGTAGTGGACCTTGACTTGTTAACCTGTGACATCGGTGATGCCTCGGCAACATGTTCTTGAGCCTCCAGCCCGTTGGGCATGATCAT